CATTTTCTTCATAATAGCAGCGTGCTCACAGAAGGTCACAGCAGCACATTAAGGCTTGGTTGTTACTGTTTTTATATCCATGTGGGAAAGGCTGAAGTCTACTATTCCAGGGTCTGTGTTTGCTGCCTGCAGCTACCAGATCATTTAGACTGATCCTCGTAATGTGGCTTTAATGACGATTCACAGGTAGGAGAAGAAGATCAAACATTACTGCAGCCAAGAGTTACACTTGGTTTTCTAAATGTCTCTTTATGTTTCTCTCATCAAGTGTCAGATCGTTTTACTTCTTCAGATGATGCAGCCATGCAGGAATCACTCTGTGGGAGTAGAGAAAGCCTACAAACAAACAGTATGTTTATCTTAGCTTAGGTCAGGTAAGGATGGGAAAAGTTGGTCATGAAAAGAATCCATACGCTGACACTAAAAGATGAGCAAAGAAATATTCCAGAAAAATGTGTTAAAAGTGCATAAATTCACCTTAATGCTAATTAGTGTTGATTCAAAGTTCTGTTAGCAATAGATGGAGCTCGGCTAAATGAGTCTGTTTCCAGGGTTTATGCTAAGCTAGTTGTGATGATTTGGCGAGGCTCGTTGTGGGTCCCATTATGGCTAGCTTTTCCCCCTACGTCTTCATGATAAGCAGAGCTAAGCTAAGCTAAATGACTGTATATGAAAGCTTCAAATGTCATTGAAGTTTTGCAACAAAAGCTAACAAGCAGCTCTACAAAGCTTTGAGCTAATTCATCTTTTACCGGTAGTTTAAATTGTCATTACGCCTCCATCTTTGTGCTTCTTCCTGTAATGCCTCTTCGTCTTCCTGGTGACCAAACTGCGCGGTTAAATTAGAAATGGCATTACAAGCAATAACATTGTAAACCTTCGAGAAAAAGGAGGTAAATTAGGCTAGATGCTAACGGGAAGAAACAACAAAAGTAGTAAGACATAAAGAGATAACTAGAAATGTTGTCAACCTTTCAGTAAAATCATAGTCACGGCTTCTTCTAGTCATATATTCGACCACATATGTACTTTTTATTGCTAGAAACATTTCTCCATTCCTAGTTTTAGGCCTGATGTTGCACATCTGTCAGTCTACAGATGGGAGAAATGTCTTTACTGAACATAAGTGGCCTTAAAGGTCAAAGAAGACAGGACCTAAAAGAAGCCGGTATCTTCAAAGTCAAATGATTCTGTTGCAGCTTCAGTGGAGGTGAACTCGGATGGAACAAGTGAAACATATTTCATATCCAGCATCCTTTCTCTCTGGGTGTGTCTCGTCTGCCTCTGGCCCCGAAGTCTGACCAAAATTAGTGGCCTTCTTTTGTCCATCCCATTCGCACGGCCACATCATTATAGCCGTGGCGCTCGAAACCCCGTCATTCAGCCTCGACCTCGCACTGAAATAGCCCAGCTCGCCTTTACGCATGCTTTAGTTTGTTCTGCACCCTGCAGGGGAGGAAGATATTTTTGACCTGTGATCACATTCACTGGGACATTTTGTTTTAGTAAAGCCACATCTTCACTTTTTAAGAAATCCTCCTGATTTGAGGAAAGATGTCATGGACAGTTCACTTTAAATATCATGCACCTATTTCACTTTTATTCCAAGAAAGCAAAGCTGTCTGTGTGTTTGATTTACTCCTGAAAAGTCTGCAGCTTTCACAAGATAAACTGTGACAAGACAGCACTCTTCAGTGGCTTCACAAGCATGGAAAAGGTGTCCCATTAAGGCGTAATAAGCCCCTTTGGTCAACACTGTGGGTGTGATTTTAACCTTCAGCTCTCAAAACCACAAAGCCAGTGTGGTCCCCCAGTTTAACTTAAACACGAAGCAGATTCTGCAAGAGTAGGACATCTTCCAAAACCACTTCCTACATTTTCAAAAGGGAGCCATGAATCCTGATTTAATGGGAAAAACAAACAGCATGTCCTGGTGACTTTGATTAGAAATACAGAAGCAAATGTTCTTACAGGGCTTGTAAATCATTGAACATCATGAATCTGTCGTTGTATTATTGTTGTTAACTAACGTTTGAATTAATTATTTTAAAGCACAGAAAAGAACAACATCTCTAAATATCTTAATGATCGTACAACAGCTGGCGTAAACGAAGAAAGCCAATCAGAAGAGAGAGATTTTTTGGCAGTGGTCACTCACCATTCTTGCTATCTTCTTGGCATGTCACAAACATCACCTGAGCCAAGGTGAGGACCAGGCAGACGGTAATCCCAGAGCGAATCGAGGGGCCCATGTCTGCATGCCAGACATGCAGCGTCCTCATACAGAGAAAGAGAGAGAGACAGTCCAACCCCGAGCTACAGCATCCAGACTGAGAAATCCAAATATCCCTGAGTGGAACAGGCTCCTGGATGAGCGATCACTGCAAACTGAAACAAGCTCCCTTCTCCTCTTCTCTTCTCCCCCTCCTTCTCTAACTCTCCTCCTCCTCCTCCTCTATCATCATTTTTTCTTGCTTTATTTCAAAGCCAACCTCCTCCTTGAAAGATGCAGCTAATTAAAGGCTGTGTTACATTAGACCAACCAAAAATCTTATGATGAAAGAGGGATGATGCCGCTGAATCGTTTAGAAAGTACAAGTTGGACATTTCCCTTCTAGATGTCCAGATGTAGGATTTTCAGTTTTCTGCATGATCACTCAGAAGCCTGAGATATAACTTGTGTTGGATGACTTTCTGGACCCAGTAAAGCTGCTAAACATGCGACAACGAAGACACAGCCTAACGTTACGTCGCAATCTGATCGGATTAATATCTGCAGGGATGTACAGATAAACCCCTCTGTCCTGCAGTCATGGTTAGCAAGTAGCCAAGAAAGACACAGTTGCAAGTTGCAAGATTTAGCCAGAAATGTCGCACAGTAGTTGGTTTAACACCAAACAGAGCTACAAGTAGAGAGCATTTTGGGCCTCAATTTCCCAGTTAATCAGAAAAATGTCCCAAAGTAGATGTTGCTGTATCCAAATGTACGCTACATGTTGGCACATTTCAGCATTTGACTACAACTAGAGATCTTCTAGAGAAGTTCAGAGGGACTAAACTCCCTTGAATTCAATCTCACAAGAATCACTCGTTAAAAAAAGTCGATGCGTTGTGTTTTTCTGTCTACCTGAAATTCGACTTGTTGACCTAAATCCGTGCACTCCCTCCAGGTTGAGCGGTTTACAATGTGCATGTTACATTTATCTGATGTGTTTTCCAGGACGAAGCTGTGCCAAAGTCGTAGCAGACCGTCAGTCCCAGAGGTCGAGAACAACACATATATCAAAATGTGCTTTTTTTTCTCCTCTATGAAGAGTACTGTAAGCCCAACAAGGGATTCAACCTTGATTCGAGTGATCCAAACCTTCCTGTAGTCACATTTCACCCGGTGCACGAGGTAGATTTCACTTGTTTTTGTTTGCTGAACATCTTGGGTCAGGAAGCGTTTCAGGTACTTTGGGAAACAGACTGATTTCACATTAAAGTCAGGACGGAGCCACAGGGGACGGAAAGTGAAGCAGATGGGAAGACAGTCGAGCAGTTTAGCTTAGCATGAGGAGATTTTCATGCAGTGTGAAGAGCGGTCGTAAAAGAAAATACTCTTTTTATCCCAAACATTTGCTTGTGTTCCTCTTGAGATACTTTGCATTTAATTTAAAGATATTTCAAAGTAATTACATGTGATATCTTTATGTCTGGCTGTTGTTCTTTGACCAGGTTGTACACATAATTATTCTTATAGAGGGAAATTCAAGCGAGGAGGCGGTGATTAGGGAACGTTGTTTTCTAAGTGCACGTAGTGAAGCTGCTTCTTTTCTTTTCTGGTCGACAGCATGCCCTCACCGATATGTCCAATCACATGTAGCTGTGATGTAAAGACAAAAAAACGTTCATTAGTGATGGACCGCTACATAGCGTCTCTTTGATGTCACATCCTGCCTCCTGAGACTCCACCCTCCCGTCCATCTTGGAGAACTTCACATCGTGAGAGACGTGTGGATAAGAAACTCAGGATGGTTCAGCGCCAGGCTCTCCAGAAACCTACCAGAACTTGTTTTAGGAGGCAACGAACAAGACTCTTAAATTACTCTTTAAACTGGCGTCATGTAAATGATAAGAGAAAGATGATGCTGGACAGATCTGTATCCATATCTCCTAAGACTGTTAAGTTAAAAGAGGTTTGAAATGTCCCACTACGACCTGTCGAACACAGGTCAGAGTTCAGGATAGTTTCTCTCCTACCTCTGTGACAACTTATTCAATACACCTAAGTCTGGTAGATGTTCCTGTAATGTTGAAAATGTTATTTATTTTATCAACCATTAAAACATTCTAGAAATTACCAGACCTCTGTGGACCAGGAGGTAAGAATTAGAGGGAGTGCGACGTATAGAAAACTACCTCAGCTTCTTGCATGTGGCGTTTAAACCCTTCCAACATCCTAGAAGCTATTTCTGAATGTAAAGACTAGACAGCAGAGTAACCACAACGGAGATCAGCCTATGATCATGCAAGCAGGACACACACACACACACACACACACACACACACACACACACACACACACACACTTTGAGGGAGGCCACCAGTCATGAAGGTGGACATTATCCAAACTAAAAAAAGCAACAAGAGAAAACATCAGATCTTACTAAAAACCTTGAAGAAATCCCTTCAGACATATTTGAAGACGTTTTCAGAGATGATGTTTCATATTAACTTGTAGTTCAAGCTTTAGTCGTACAAATGAAACATAATGTGTCTGTCATTTGCTTTTTTTCCCAACTCATTTGTCACGTGAAAGGAAGCAGCAGGCCTATCCAGTTGACACACACCCTGTCCCATATTATCTTACACACTATCTGCATTATTTAACATTTCACGGGTCTAAAAGAACACTCCCGAATTAGCCTCCTCGTTCGGCAGTTCAACAGTTTGTGTGTCACCGTTGACGGCTTTGGAGGTTATTTCTTACCTGGTTTGATTCCTGTGCATCTTTGGGAATGTTTGCAGCAGCCACTAAAAACTTTGTGAAGCAGGTAGGAGACACGGGGAGGTTGATCCCGGTCCCCAGCCTGAGCGAGGCGGACAGGTACCAGCCCCTCAGTTTGGTCACCAGGAAGAGGAAGAGACATTTCTGGAAGAAGTACAAGTACGCCTCGACCCCCTTCTCCCTCAAAGACATCCTGGTGGGGGAGAAAGAGATCACAGCAGGTAAAGTAATGACACAAATGTACCAATTATGAGGATTCACTTGATACTTTGGGCTATTCGTTTTGGATGTCTCATTTTGTCTTTTACACAAAGAAAAGAAAACAGGTCATCAGGCAGTCATGAAATCCACAAATATCATCTTTCTCACTAATAGTTAGATGAGAAGATGAATACTAGCTTCACATTTTTTCCAAAGTCAAACAAGGTAACCAACTGTTTATAGCTGACAAGTGAACATGTCTTCTTCACAAGCTTAAGTTTAAAGCGGGTACATTAATATCGTGTGGCTGTCTTGTTTACTTTCCTTAACAGTGCTAGTGCTGGATCATGTTTTAAACTAAGAGCAAACCCCCCCCCCCAAAAAAAAAAATGAAGAGAAACGGATAAAATCTAAGACCTTTCACGAGGAAAAAATAAGGCTTTCTAAAACGTTTCATGACCATACATTTTAGTAATCGAATTCAAAGCTTTTTAAGACTGGATCCACTTGAACCCCTGATCAGAAGTGAAAGTGCAAAATGCAGAAAACTGTAATATGATGAAGACTTTTTTAACATAATGTTTAGCTGTTGCTGCTTACTGAACACCGGCTTCACGATGGACATCATAACTACAAGTTCATCCTGTTTTGTGTATTTTAAATGCTGTTTTGTCGAGTGACTAGCTGTTCAGAATAGGTTGTTTGGTTAAAATTTACATTTATTTTCCTCTAAGTTGAAGCTGGGTAGATGTGCCATAATGCAGAAGTTGGAAATACATGCACTTAAGTGTAATACTGGATTAAATTAACTTGTTTTTTTCTCAAACAGGAGTGTCTTCTTATCAGCTCCTAAACTACGAGGACAAATCAGACGTCGCCTTAAATGGTCGACTAGGAAACCACCTCATCAATGATGTGGGGTTCAACATCAGCGGGTCGGACTCTGTGGCGGTCAAAGCCTCGTTCGGTATCGTGACCAAACACGAGCTGGAGGTTCCCACGTTACTGCGAGAGCTCAACTCCAGGTAACATGATGTTCAGCAGCTTTTCACAGCTGAGTAAGTGTTCTTACCTTCATGTGAGGGGTCATCTCTATAACCAAACACCTACTTGGTAATTAACTATTTACCATTTTGAAATTATTCATATGTTTGCCTAAATATGTTTTACATGTAAATCTGACATCTTGTTAATGTAAATGTATTATATATTTATTTGTTTGACCTGTGAGAGCAGCTTTAATTAGGTCCCTGGGTTCTGACCTCCTTGTGACAGGGGGAACATGAGAAGAGGGTTTTCCAGAACACAGAATAAAGGAACTACATATTAGAGGACAATACAAACCATTATAACACATATCTATAGTTTTTGTGGTTTGACATTTACAGGTGTAAAATGTTACATTCATCGTTTTTTGTTGCGTTGGAAATGTTCAGTTACAAAGGCAAACATAAAGCACAAAAAAATACAATTTCTAAGACAATATTAACTTATTAAAACCCCAAAAGCTAACGATATAAACATTAGCTTGTTAGCTTTCTAGCCAATTTCTAAGACAATATTAACTTATTAAAACCCCAAAAGCTAACGATATAAACATTAGCTTGTTAGCTTTCTAGCGAAGAGGAAGTTGAGAAAATAATCACACTCGTAACTCGTCTGTAGATGTCGTTGTTAAGTCAGGTCTTGAAAACAGTAGATGCTAAAGACGTATCTGATTAACTACTCTTTACATAAATATGAAACCAAACAAAGAGGCATTCTTGATAACCATTTTCGTGTTTTACAGCAGCTGTAACTACAAAAAGCACAGACACATCCGGTTCATAATCGCCAGCTAACACGGTCGCTGATTAAACCGAGACACCTGTCTTTGCTGCCTTCAAGTGCTCCCCGGAAATATCGGATTTACAGGATTTATGAGTAATGAGCACATGAACGGCCCACTAGAGTCGTAATTACGAGGGGGAAATTCTTGAATTGTGACGTTTGTGTGACCTTTATAGCAAAAATGGCTGAACCTAAACCTTGAGAAGTTTCCATCTCATTAAAAACAATGCTATCATATCTCCCCATATTCAGGATGCATGCCGTTAAGACTCCTCAATATTCACAGCATCATCATCCATTTTTTTGAAAACTGTTTTTTTAGGAAAGTGGACCTGGATCACTGCCTGGTTCGTCAGTCCAAAGAAAGTGGACGCAGCGTTCTTTGTGTTGTTGTTGAGAGCATCAGAACAACCCGCCAGTGCTCTCTGACCGTCCACGCCGGGATGAGAGGGACTACAATGAGGGTAAATACAATTAAACCACAAGGATCACTTTGAGCAAACTCTAACCAGTTCATGTTAAATAAAAATATTCCATGCTGTTAGCAATTTACCCCTTTTAAAATCAGGCTGCAAGAGTAATTTCATAACCTAGATAGCTTTTCAAAATAAAAGTTTCAAAGTGCTTTACAAGGGCAGCAAAGTGAAACAGACAGGTAATTAAATCAAACAAAAAAGACCCTAAAAGACACATTTTAATCATGTTATTATCCTCATCCTCTATTAAAAAGTGTCAACATTTTGGTTGTCTTTGATTGCAATTCCAGTTTACACTTGACACCTCATATAAACTCTTATTTATGAAATATACAAAAAAGAAAAAAAATTCAGTGTTTTGCAAAATTAAGTCTCAAAATTCTGCTTCAGTTCCCGGACCCACAACAGCTCCACCCATTCAACTTGTCTGCCTTGTTATTAAAAAAAAAAAGTGGTGGATGAGCAGTTGTCTCACAGTTTTCAGTTTTTTCTGCAGTTTCAGATCGACGACGGCAGAAATCCCAAAGGTCGAGACAAAGCAATCGTCATCCCCGCTCACACCACCATTGCCTTCAGCATCTGTCAGCTGTTTGTTCGACTGGACGGACGTCTTGGTAGGAAGGATGCCGATTCAAAAACATTCATTAATCCTAGCTATGAAGTCTCCTACATTTAGAGCGACTTGGGTTTAGAGCTGAAAGTAGTCTTCTATTGGAAGCTCTAAATATATTCTATATAAGACCTAAATTGCTGAAATAGGAACCTGGACCTTTAAATCAAAACAGGAGTGTGATTAAAACCAACACTTTAAGTCAACACTAGACATGACAAACACTTTGGGCATCTGTCTCAATGAAAGTTAAAGGGATAATTCCAATTTAGGGTAAAATGGTGAAAATATTTCTTTTTTAAGTATATTTCTTGTTCTGTGTCAGATATTTGTGTAGCTCCAGGTTCTCAAGGGGGATTTGAGCGGGAGCAGATCAGGGAGCAGCTCGGCGGTTTCATCGGTCACTTCTCGATGGGTCGACTTCGCCGCTTTCTGTCTGGAATCGTCTACGGAAACCCCTTCAGAGCAGGTGCACCTCTCACTTCTTCTACATCAGAACCGCAGCAGTTCTCCTTGCTTCATGTTTGCCTTCACTTCGCAGAGAACCGAACCTTCGAGGAGCTCACCCACTCGGACACCTACATGGACGACATGGTTACAGACTACTACGAGAAAGCCGCCAGCATGACGGACGTTTCCACCGCCTACCTCAGAGAGAGCTCCCACACCAGGGTCAACCTCCTCAAACACAACATCCCCAAGGGGCCGTGTGCACTCTGCGGCATGGGCAACCAGAGGCGGGAGACCGTGTACGGCTGTCTGGAGTGCAACACCGGGGGGCAGAAATACGTCCGGCTGCATGTGGTGCCTTGTTTGACCTCTGGCACAAAACGCTGAGGTGAAAAATAAGTCTTACTATAAGAGCAGTAACTATTTTGTTTTTTTCCCCCCAGTGCAAGTGTTTACAGAATATGAGTCATGAAAACTGGACATCTCTGCAAACCCGAAACACCTGATATCATGACTTTAACAGCCAACAATTCAAATAAATGATGCAAACGTTGACTTTGTGTTATCTCTCATATCACAGTATAGTTTTCTGTTTACCTTTGGCGCCGCCCTATTTCTACACATGTCCTGTGTAGGTACTATAGCTTGCCAGATGCTAAATAATTCAGCGGGGGTATTGGGTGAAAATGGACTGTTCGGATCATATGAAGGCCAGTGACAACCGGGTTGTGTTATGTTCCAAGTGTGTCATTTTATTTTAAGCAGAAATTGTGCTTCAATTATGTCGATTGCGAGTTTAAACTTTATATCAGGTGTTCTAACAGAGGATTAGTAACTTGTGACGATCCAAAACTTTAAAGTCTACTCTTGTAAAATGTGAACATCCTCGACCTAAATGTAGTTTTGATATACAATTTTTAAGGCGTCATGGGACTTTAGTATGTGGATATTACAGGAGATTTTTTCTGTATTTGATTGGTGATGCCAAAATAAACAACCCTCTCATTTGAACTGTGAATAAAACAATAAATATGACATTTCTTGGTTGAATTTTACTAAATAAAGATTTCTGATGAATATTGATTACGTTGGCCGGGTTTTGGCTTCATTTTTCTTTCCAACATCAGGTCATTTCAGTCATACGCCTCAAGTCGAGTAAGCACAGCAGATACAAAATAAGAGCAGTTCCAATAACACAAGGAATATTGTTCAGAAGGGTTCAAAGTTGAGTTACTATCACCATGGGGCATCGGGTCAGGATGCAGGAATCCAACAAGACTTGAGTTTAATGTAGCGAGTGTATTTCTTCAAATTAGGTGAACACATATAGGATTGAACATCAAGTCTGAAAGACAAATAAAATAACATTAGCATTAATAAACTTAATAAATAAATTAATTAATAAACAAGTCAAATTACATTACTTTTTAAAGAAAATAAAGCTAAATAAAGTGCTTAGGAGAAATTAAAATGGACTAGATAGTAACTAAAATAGGAGTAAAACGCCACCTTACTATTGCTGAACTGCCACCCCATGTGAGGATGAAAACATGAGTGTAAGGGAGTGCAGTCTTAAATAAGCAGTAGGCAGGTAAATTCAATCTAATTAATTAGTGACAGAGTGCAAACGACAACCAATCAAAGGAGAGAGTGAGAAACCAAGAAGTGTACTAAAGGAGTGCAGTAGGAAAAGAGAGGAAGTGAAAGGAAACAAATAGTGATCTTTACTACAAATATATTTCCTTCTTACTGGGTTGGGGTGACATTGCGGCAACAAAATATATCTAGTAAATTTGTTGGTACATTTATTGTCCCAGAAGTCAGTACATCTCAGTCCAGGTGTGATTTCCTCTTTAAAAAATGTATCTCAGGGAGGCTGGAATGGCTTTTATCATCCTGTAATGTAGTTTTTCCTGGTCTTGGGTCAGGATTGTTGTACCGTCAGTTTACCCTCCCTGCCGCTAGAGGGCGCAGCGCTCGACTCACAGCGGATGTGTCGAGTGTCAACACACTGCAGACGCATGTGGGGCAGTGCTGGAGAAGAAGCATGTGCAGTATTTGTCCAAAACTGACATTAATACGGTGACAATTAAATGATTAAGAGGAGATAAATGCTTAAACTGTGAGGAATATTCGCAATAATGAAGTTCGCGTACAGGGTAAGTACAACTCTGCTCGGTTACTTAGCAACTCACCATGTGTCGTCCTGATGTGTCGTTCCTGATGTGTTGTTTTAGTGAGAAAAAAAACAAATTAAAGAACAATAAGAAGCAGTACAAAACACAACTTCTCAGAGAAATGTGCAGCAGAAACCAAAGAAACACCTCAGAACTTGTTAAACATGTAACAAAGATAATTAAATGAGTCTGTGCACGAACAATATAAACAGAAAAGACGTCTTTCTCTGGTGTTGTTACTCATTTGTGATTTATTTCTTGTCTGTTATTATTTCATCACTCTTACTGCTGTGCATTTTAGTCTCTAAATCATTTTAATCAAACTATATTTTGTCAGTCACTTTTCCACTCTACTGTAAAACACTTTGACCTGCAGTAGAAATGTCTGAAAGGTGTTAATAATAAAGTTTGAAGTCAAACATTAACATAATAATACATTACATGATACATTAATAAAATAAAACATCATACATTCGTATTTGAATGGAGTAAGGGATGCATTTCATCACCTTGTGGGAAATAGAAGCTTTTCAATAAGGAGACTAAACCCCTTTCTCTTTCTTGTAGTTTTCAAACCTGCTTGGAGCCGTTTATCGTCAGGGAAATTTGAATTTCTCCAAAGATGGCAACGCTGTGATCAGTCCGGTTGGAAACAGAGTCTCCGTCTTCGACCTGAAAAAGTAAGTCACCGTCTTGTTTATTCTTCCTGGATTGGCTGCGGAGACATGTTCAGCTTCACAGAGATCGATATGCATCACAAGGCTAAACTACGAGCGACCTTTTCCTCTTTTCTCCAGCAACACATCCGAGACGTTACCCATCTCGACGACCAAGAACATCACGTGTGTCGGTCTCTCTCCTGACGGGAACATAGCAATCGTGGTGGATGAAGGTGAGATATTTAACACCCTGCCCTGAATTAGATTTTGTTGAATGTTTTTTTTGTGTGTGTGTTTCAAGACTATAAAAAAAAAACCATAAGCGATCTAAGTGTGTTTCTGTATTTGTGACACGCAGATGGCGCAGCTCTGTTGGTCAGCCTCATCACCCGAGCCATCCTTCATCATTTCCACTTTCACAAGCCGGTCAACAGCATCCGCTTCTCACCTGACGGCAGGTAAGGATGTCTGAGGAACGTCAGGTCGACATCGAAAGCAACAACGGAGATCTTGAAATAACTTAATTTCCCCTCATAATAATCGAAGTAAAGCAGCAGATCTTTACGTTAAATGAGCCAAAGCAAGCAAACACAGCATCTGATATGTCTAATCATTAACTATCGGAAACGGATCGTTTCACCGCTGCACTTAATAAAATGTGTAAAGATAGAAGTGAGCAGCTCCGGAGCATAAATGATGCCGCTATCTGCATTTATATGAAACTTTATATCGAATGATTTCAGCTACATTCATAATGCTCTTGCTTTCCCCCCTCACAGGAGGTTTGTGGTAACGAAGGAGAACGTCGCTCTGATGTACCACGCTCCCGGGAAGCAGCGCGAGTTTAACGCCTTCGTGTTGGACAAGAGCTACTACGGTCCGTACGATGAAACCACCTGCATCGACTGGACGGACGACTCCAAGTGAGTAAAAGTAACAGTTTGGGCTTTGTCACACCAAACCCCATTCAAGTAAAGCTCAATTTAAAAATCCTGTGATGCATCGCTAAAGGTAGAAACAGGCTTGGCTGCTTCAGACCTGTTTTTGTAAACATTAAGCATTCGCACAGAAGTTCGGCTAACATGACATCAGACAGAATTTGACCTTTTTATTGAAACATTTTTCTGTCCACTCGAGCAAATGGCTCCTATTTACCGACCTTTTTGAATGGATTTCTTTCCCTGGATGCAGACAGGAGGTTATGACGATTGTCAAAGATTGAAACTGCAAAGTGAATGATGATATGTTTTCCCTCAGGTGTTTTGTGGTGGGCAGCAAAGACATGTCAACGTGGGTGTTTGGTGCTGAGCGCTGGGCCAACCTCATCTACTACTCTCTGGGTGGACACAAAGACGTCATCGTGGGCTGTTTCTTCGAGAAGGACAGCCTGGATGTGAGTTTATGTCCGGCTTGTATTACTTAGAGATTTGAGCTGTAGGAAAATCTGTAGTTTTGCGTCATAATAATCAAGAAAATGTCAGTGATTTGTTCCTGTGTCTTCAGCTGTACACGGTGAGCCAGGACGGGACGCTGTGTGTTTGGGAGAGTGACACGGAGCTGGACGGCCTCATCCTGCCGAAGAAGAGCAAACCTCAACCTCCCGGACCCGGGGAGGAAGAGGAGGGGGAGGATGAGGTGGAGAGGGTGGAGGGAGAGGAGGGAGAGGTGATCAGAGGGAAAGTCGAAGCTCCGAAAGAGAAGAAGACGAGAAACGTGCGATTCAAGCACAGAAGCAAGTGAGTGTTTCAAGACAATGAAGAATGGTTTCGTCCAATGAGGTGTTCTTTTTGTAAAGTGTTAGCATACCTTGCAATATAATCAATTTACTTTATATAAAGGAGCAAATCAGGACTTCAACTAACTGTTATTTCTGTTGTTTATCGATCATTTTCTCCGTTTAATGATCAGCCTTTTGAATTAAAAACTGTCTGAAAACCAAGAAAAATGTGAAACAATATTTCCTATAGCCAAAATCACACTCAAAGTTGTGCTTTGTGTCCGCAACTTAAAGATTCTTCAACGTAAAACTGGAGAAGTGTTTACATTTAAGAAGCTGAACAACAGTACGACAGTTTTATTACTTCAGTCTCTTGGCTGCAGGAGTTTTTAGCAGCCAGGAGTCCTTAAAAAAAAACCTTAATGTTCATGCTTTGACATTTTGAAAGCCAATTATCCTGCTCTCCATTAGGGCTTTTGGCTTCACACAGCTGATAAATTTGTCTCCTGGCTTCTCTGAAACTCGGATGGCAGCATTTGTAAATCAGCATGTGCTTAAGCCTCGAGCCAACAGTCATTTTTCTTTGTAGGAGAGCTTCAAGTAGGAGAGAAGTTTTTTATAGATCATCAGTTCCTTCTTAAGAAGTTTCAGGGCTTCAGAAACTCAGTGAATGTACAAAGCTGCTTTATTCATCCACTCCTCATTCTCCTGTTCTAGGCACTTCTTCAACAAAGAGGGGGATTTTAACAACCTGACTGCTGCCGCCTATCACAAGCCCACTCACATCCTGATCACTGGTTTCGCCTCGGGGATCTTCCACCTGCACGAACTCCCAGAGTTTAATCTCATTCACTCTCTAAGGTGAGAGAAAAGGACAGTTTCATGCATGATATTCGTGTGCTTCAGTGGGAGATTAGGAGACACGGGTAAAAGTTTGATGTTTTTATGCAGGATGTGACTTTCTGAGTGTTTCTCTTTGCAGTATTTCAGACCAGAGAATCTCCTCGGTGTCGATAAACTGCTCTGGAGACTGGATTGGCTTCGGATGCTCAGGTAAGAAATTATGTTTCCTCTCTTATGTGTGACTTCTTCTGAACTTTTTGGTCTGTTTTTTATATAAAACTGTGAGTGTTGTTGTTTCAGGGATGGGTCAGCTGCTGGTGTGGGAGTGGCAGAGTGAGTCGTACGTCTTCAAACAGCAGGGACATTTTAACAACATGGCGTCACTGGCGTACTCACCGGACGGACAGTACATCGTGACAGGAGGGGATGATGGCAAAGTGAGCGTTTACACTGTGCACTCATGCTTCTGTTTCAACTCAAATGAAATGTGTGCAAGGAATATTCTAATCCTCTAAACCTGTCACTTTTAGTTAAAAAAGCACATTTAAGAAAGGAGAGAAACAATAAGGCTCAACTGTTTTTTTTCCTCCTCCTGCAGGTCAAAGTGTGGAACACAAACAGCGGCCTCTGCTTCGTCACCTTCACCGAGCACACCAGCAGCGTCACCAACGTCACCTTCACCTCCAGCGGCTTCGTCATCGTCAGCGCTTCTTGGACGGGACGGTCAGAGCGTTCGACCTGCACAGGTGACTTTCACCGCACCTGGTTCATTTCCGAAAGTTAGATTGAGACAGAGGGAGTGGAAATGTGCTTGGATATGAACTTTGAGTTAATGTATGTGTGTGTGTGTGTTTGTTTATTACAGATACAGAAACTTCAGGACATTCACGTCGCCCCGGCCGGCGCAGTTCTCCTCCCTGGCTGTAGATGTCAGTGGAGAGCTGGTGAGCGCCGGAGCTCAGGACTCCTTTGAGATCTTCCTGTGGTCCATGCAGACTGGCAGACTGCTGGAGGTAAGCATTTAGTGATATTATAATATAAGAGGTTTAGGGGGTATATGTCGTAAAAGTGTGTTTTTTTTTTCTTTACATTATTTACCACTCTGCATCCTCTCTGTGATTGGTTAGGTCCTCGGGGGTCACGAGGGTCCCGTCAGCTGTCTGTGTTTCAGTCCAGTTCAGTCCATCCTGGCCAGCGCTTCATGGGATCGAACCATCAGACTGTGGGACATGTTGGACAGCTGGCAGGTCAAAGAAACACTTCCCCTCACCTCTGACGGTAAACACAGACCCTGGAGGATATAAAAGCTGCTCATCGGGTGTTATTTTTATTATTTTTGTTGTTCTGTATAATGTAGACCGCACTTTGAGTTTTGTGTGTTCTCCCCCTTCAGCTCTGTCAGTGACGTACAGGCCTGATGGTCAGGAGTTAGCTGTAGCCACTCTGAACGGCGAGATCTGCTTCTGGAACCCACAGTCGGCAGCACAAACAGGATCCGTGTCGGGACGCCACGACCTGGAGACGGGCCGCAAAGAGACGGATAAAATCACAGCCAAGCAATCTGCAAAGGGGAAGTGAGTGAGGGAACTGAATCAGATTGAGTTTGTTTGAGACATTTCACATTTCCTGTTGTGGGTTCGAAAACCAGCTTTGTGCTTCTTGTCTTTGTGCATCCAGGTCCTTTACGTCGCTGTGCTACTCTGCAGACGGAGAGTCGATTTTAGCAGGAGGTCAGTCCAAGTTCGTCTGCATCTACAACATCAGAGAGCAGATGCTGATGAAGAAGTTTGAGATCTCCTGTAACCTCTCCTTTGATGCCATGGAGGTACGAGTTTAATATCCGCTCTGTCAACTGTAGATGAAGTTTTTTTTTAAAAATGACGTCTTTGAATTTGAATGATCATGATTCCAGGTTTAGAAGTTAATGTTTGAGTTTTGTTTCTTAACTTCAGGAGTTCCTGGACCGACGGAAAATGACAGAGTTTGGCAGCCTGGCGCTGGTGGACGAGGGAGCCGGAGACGGGGACGGAGTCAACATCAGCCTCCCTGGAGTCAGGAGAGGTACGACGCTCCCTTCAACACTCACTGAGCTGTTATGAAGCATGTCAACACTTCCACATTTAAACAATGTCACAGTGATGCTGGCTGTAGACAGATGAAGACAGAATCCTTTATTGAAGGAAACTAGGCCTTGTCAACCAGACAGGACGGATGTGTTTGCTTGAAATCAGATTTTTCTCCTTACATGGATTTGTTCATCAGCACAATGATTCATCTTCTTGTTTCCTCTCATGTGTTTTCTTGACTTTCTCAGGTTTGTGCTTCATATTTCCACGGCGTCTTATTTTCTGTGTGGTTTTTCTTTCTTTATGCCCCTGTAGGTGATATGAGCTCTCGTCATTTTAAGCCAGAAATCAGAGTGAGCTCACTGCGGTTCTCCCCTACTGGTAGGTGTCTGACATTACAAGTGTCTGCAGAGACATGGCTGCACGTTTTGTAAAGATAGGTTAACTTTCAAGTCAGAGTGTGCGACTTTGGATCCAGTAGATGTGGCCCTTGAGCACCAGCGTGAAGAGGAATGTTAGTCTGTTTTAAAGATCCATTTCTTTCAGATTTTCAGCCCTTCAACTCACTTTAATACTACAGAGGTCTGTTTTAAGCTTGAGAAAGGTCATTCAGATCATCAGTCACATAACACTCTAAAATAATTGTAAATACATGTTTAGGATAACAGTGGAGTTCTTGTGGAGGGTCACCAGGAACTGTTGGTTCTTAAGTAGTTACATTTTTGTTTCCCAGGGCGTAGCTGGGCAGCCACAACAACCGAGGGTCTGCTGGTCTACTCCCTCGACGGCTCTCTTGTCTTCGACCCGTACGACCTCGACCTGGACGTGACTCCGGCCAGCATACGGAAACAGCTACGTCTTCAGGAGTGGACGTCCGCCATCATCCTGGCGTTCAGACTCAACGAAAAAGCCCTAAAGCAGGAAGTGTTGGAATCGGTGCCTCATGATCAGAGTGAGTAAACGAATCTAATTTCTCCATACACTGTGTTTTTTTTTGGTTTTTTTTTTAAATGAATTGGCCGTCAAATGTATTGGTGTTTCATTTTTTCAGTCCGAGTGGTGTGCGGCTCTCTTCCTGACATCTACGTGGAGAAGCTGCTCAGCTTTGTGGCGGCGTGTTTGGAGAAGTCGGGTCACCTGCAGTTCTACATGACGTGGGCTCAGAACCTGCTCATGCTGCACGGACAGAAACTTAAAAACAGGTGTGCTTTTGAGTCCCATTTTACTGTCCTGTTCACCGTAGACTGAATGTAAGAAGTGGACGTAGACAATGTGACGACAGCCAAAGGTTTTCTCTGCGATTTTAAGTTTTGCCGTCATGGCTCTGTCATATTTCCGCCTCACTATATTTGTGAGTTTTTAATGACACGATAATCTTTCTTTTGTGTGTAGGTCGGGGGCGATTCTTCCGACACTCCAGGCGCTGCAGAAGAGCATCCAGAGACACTTTGAAGATCTTTCAAAACTGTAAGTCTCAGATCCTGATCCAGATCCATAATACAAATGCAAACCAGAAAACTGAAATGTAGACCAAATCTGTGATTGTAAATGTGTGTTTTGTCCTGACAGGTGTGATTTTAATGTGTTCAACATCCGCTACGCTGTGGCTCTGTCAAAGCAGAGGGGCATGAAGAGAGCAGCTGAGGACGATGAGGAGGAGGAAGAGGAGGAGGAGGAAGACAGAGAGCTGTCTGAAGAGATGAGTGAAGCCTCCTTGGACGGTGCAGACATGATCCTGTAGGCCTGAGAACGATCCACCTCATTCCATCAACATGTCAGAATAATTATGTTGGACTGTAAAAGCAAATATATTTCTGTGTACTTACGTTTTTTAATTAAATATGTGAAAATGTGACTGTTTTCCCCCTTATTTTTTGACTGTATGAGCTTTTTTCAAGCTTCTACACACACACAGGTGAAGCCACTTATTTTGGCTGTGTTCTCAGGAGTGTAGTCGTGTACAGTTTGTAGTTTCATTGATTTGCATTCAACCTGAGCAGAAATCTTAAACACATTTGAATCACCTGCCTGGGTGTACATGTCTTGCAGATCAAAAGACGATTGAATAAGAAAGGTGGAACAGCTTTTTTTTGATGCCTGTTTGCGATGGAAGAAAGACAACGCAAACAACGTCTAATTTCATGCACTCGTTTGTGAGCGGGGGGATGAAGTCCATCCCTATGTTAAAAAAATCTACAAAAACAGAAGGCCAAATAACCTTGGTCCTCCAAAAAAAATCAACAACATATGAGTTGATTAATATTTATAAGACAGTTGCTATTTGAATCATGAGTATATAATATATACATATACTATATTATAGTAATATTCCTTTTTATGAGTGACATTTGTTGATAAGCTTTCAGTGCTTCTAATGTGTCACTGAACTGCATTATCTCGAGAATTTTCCTTTTAATTTGAAAGAAATGAAGAGGAAATACATGAACCGCAACCTCAGAACGAATCAAACTACCATACCCGGCAGTCCTTGCGGCTGCGGAGCGGAAGTGACGTACTTTGAGCCAAAATGAGGGAAAATAAGAACATGTCCGAGTCCCCCTCTCAAGCGGGAAAAGAAATACCAGCGAAGAAACAAAAACTAAGCAGTGACGAGAACAGTAATCCAGATCTATCAGGAGACGAGAATGTAAGCAGTTGAATCGTGTTATTTTTTTTGAAAGAATGACCTTTAAGAAAAACACCCACAGCGAGCTAGCATCTTGCTAACGGAGCCGGCCGGCTAAAATGGTTTAGCTAGCAGCTTTGTTCAGCTGCAGCAGGTTAGCTAACTGTAAAGAAAATAGTTTTTTTTACCTATTTATTATGCTCAAAAGTCTCTACACATATTCAGTTTCACACTGTCGGACTTTTGCTCTTTATATAATTTAAAAAAGTTGGTTGTCTACATGCTCAGCAGGGGTTAGCCTGAACTGCTAAAATATGCAAGATGTTATTAAAATGTGCGTTGTTGCTGAGTTTGTATGATTTAAGCTTTTTTAATTATATCTGGAAGGAAAAACACGACTTTTAGACATATGACTTATTAATTGGAGTTAATTAGGTTTGACCTTTTGTTTAAAAAGAGTACACTATCAGAGTAATTCAGGTGATAAGCAAACAATATTTACATCCTGTCATACTACCTGAAGTAATTCACAAGTCATATCATGAAACAGCATGGTGTGTGTGTGTGTGTGCACTGTGGCTTGACACATGTTAGGTTTGCATCTATATGCGTGACAGCAGTTTCAGAAACATGCCAGGTGCTTGTATTCACCTTGAATCATTATTCAAGGTGAATCACACCTTAAAGTATGCACACTTATTATACATTTGCACATTAACACACTGCTGTCTGTGCAGCTGTAACACATGGGTCTCCTCTCATTTGAATCTGTGATTTATATTGCATATTGGGTTTCATTTTTACTCCCGCATGGGTTTTTTTTTAAATATTCTTGGTTTAGGTGGTTATTCTAAGGGTGTAATTTTGATCTCTGTAGGGGTTTCTTAAAAAAAAATGTGCAGGTTAGTCTATGCATACGTGAGAGGGTACAGCGGGTGTTGAAACTACTACTGGATGCTTGAATTTCCCTGCCTATCTATAATATATCTATTTGAATCACCTGGATCTTCTGTGCGTTCGAAGGACGATGCTGTCAGCGTTGAGAGTGGCACCAATGCAGAGCGGCCTGACACGCCCACCAACACGGTCAACGCTCCGGGCAGGAAGCTCTGGGGAAAGGGCAAGTGGAAGTCCAAGAAGTGCAGATATTCTTTTAAATGTGTCAACAGTCTGAGGGTGAGTACTGACGGCACATTTGGTCAAAAATCGTCTCTACTGTGACACATGAAACCACAAGTTAATGCATAGGAATGGTAATCAGCACAACCACAATGTTGCTCTCAAATAGTTGTAAACCATCTTATGTGGTGCCGTAAGAGTCTGCAGTTAACTGGTGAGTTGTGGTCACAATAAAGAATTTGGCAAATTGAATATCTTAAAAAAAACTTTTTTTTTCAAGGGGGTCCTAACACAAATACAAAGTCATACACAAATGTACAAAGAAAAATACTTTAGAAGATATGTATACAATTACACAATACAGACATCCCTTCCACAACGTCAACCGCCTCACCCATCCCACCTCCAGCTCTCGGCTATTGAACAAGACCTGGAAATAAAGTACGTCAGTATAAAGAGCTACATTAGAGCACTTAATCTTTAGGTTATTTGTAGCACAAGTTAATTGAAAAATATAAGCAAACCGAAATAAACAAAATAGGAACAGGTTGGTTCAGGATAAGAAAATAAATGTGACTGGAAGCTGCAGAAAGATGTGATCTTTGTTAAACATGGTATGATCTGCAGGAGGACCATGGCCAGCCTCTGTTTGGAGTCCAGTTTAACTGGCACAGCAAGGAGGGAGACCCGCTGGTGTTTGCCACAGTCGGAAGTAACAGGGTAAGTGATAAACGGGTGGTGGTATTACTAAGTGGTGCCATTGTGTCATATTGCCTGTCTTCAGTGCACATTTTAAAGGCCTTGTGTTTTCAGTGTAAAGATGTAATGAATCCGAATGTTATGCAACTTCCCATGTAGTGATGTCTTATCTTACTTGTACTTTTCCTTTCTCCAACAGGTAACTCTGTATGAATGTCACTCTCAGGGAGAAATAAGACTCCTGCAATCTTATGTCGATGCAGACGTATCCTTTCATTCTGAAAAAACATCAAAAAAAAAAAAATATACATTCAACCTGTTGTCACCTGAACGAAAGGCGAACAATGTCTGGATCAAGATAAAGTTATAAAAGTACTGTTTAGATTTGATGCTCTGGAAAGTATTTCAAGGGTAAGTAAACCTCATATTTTCAGCTGTACTGCTCGACCCTGTCAATGTATCAACTTTGAGAGGGAGGGGGCGGGGCAAGGGGGAAGACACGCCCACTCACTGCTTCGCGCCGTTATCAGCCGCAACATGATACAATGTTTGCCCCACACACACACAAATACACACACACACACTTGACTCCCCACAGTTCGCCAAGTCGGGTGACGAGGCTTTTATAGGTTTGGTGACGTGGGGATGCACTCCTACGTCATACTGTACTCCACACAGCCGTGAGAGTTTTTCAAACAGAAGGGCAGACACTATGCACATTTCTAACACAATATTTCAAATTTCAATAGTTTGTACTCAAATGTCGAGATTGGGACTTGGATTGATCCGTAACACTACTTAATACTCAAATACAGAGGTTTAGAGTTGAAAAAAGTGGTTTTAGGGTTTAGTTACTCTTTAAGCTGCCTTTTCCTGCTTTAGAAAAAGTAAAAACAGACAGATGTACTAACTTTAAAACAGGCCGTTGACTCTAGGTCCTATTAAAACCATTCAGGAGTTTTGTTGTTTGGGTTCCTTGACTGAACGTGTGATAAGGCAGACGAGAACTTCTACACGTGTGCCTGGACCTACGACACCAACACAAGCCACCCGCTGCTGGCTGTAGCCGGCTCTCGCGGCATCATCCGGGTGATCAACCACATCACAATGCAGTGTATTAAGGTAACGTGTAAAGACGTACGTGTAGCTCGTAGAACAAGTTAGTTTGTATGTCCTGGACCGTCTCGTCTGGTCAAATTCATCTATAATAACTCAGCACACACTTTGCTTTTGTCATGTAAGTCCTCGTGGGTCACATACGATATGGTATAAACGTGAAAAAAGAAAACTTGGTATTAAATGAAATCTAAATGTTTGTACTGCAAAGTCAAATGCTCAGGGTGTTTTTAAATTCTGCATGTTACAAATGTTTTTATTTAAAGACGGGTAAAGCACACGTGGTGACGACGCCCTCAGTCTTAAAAAAAAAAAATCAAATCAAATCAAAAAATGATTTGAATGGTTACCTGAATCATAAACTGGATATGTCTCCATGTGTAGGAATATAAACTCTGAAATAACAATCTTTTTTTTTCACTCATGCAGCATTATGTAGGTCATGGAAACGCCATCAACGAGCTCAAGTTTCATCCGAGGGATCCGAATCTCCTTCTGTCTGTCAGCAAAGGTAAAAAAGGGAGAAAAACAAATCTACCACTAAGCTCTGACCCCGAAAAGCCAGTAGATTACAACGTCTCACTTCATCATGTAGGCATAAAGGAGTCACAAAGACTTTTATTTGGACGTAATAACATCGACTTTATTGACCTTACAGGCATCACCTGGACACTAAAAATTATTTTCTTGCGTGGTTTGTTTCTTCCTGCTGAGAGGCACAACAACAGCTATAACGTTTTAGAAATGTAGGTTACATTAAAGGTTTTATTGCTGTGTGATCGTCAGGTGAGTCCTCGCGGCCTCAGGTAGAAGGAGGCGGCTTGATGGCGGTCAAGAGATCGGGGGGGGGGGGGAGTTTAATGTTTAGCTGAATCAGGTGAATGTCGACTTAGAAACCGTGTCCAGAAAATACGCCTCGCCCTGTTAAAGAGCTTCATGGTGTTCTGAAAGTCATGATCCAAAATCACATCTATCATCTTCACTCATTGAAAATACATGATTTCATTTACTTGACCGTCCTTGTTTCGTCAGATCACGCTCTTCGTCTCTGGAACATACAGACGGACACGTTGGTGGCGATATTTGGAGGAGTGGAGGGCCATCGTGATGAAGTCCTGAGTGCTGTGAGTATTTTCAAAATGGGCGCTCTATGATAAACGTACCCCCCCCCCCCCCAAAATACCTCGATTTAAATGTATTTCCTCTCTGCTGCAGGACTTTGATCTTTTAGGTGAAAAGATAATGTCCTGTGGGATGGATCACTCCCTCAAACTTTGGAGGATCAACTCAGAGAGGATGCAGAAAGCCATCCGAGGCTCTTATGAGTACAACCCCTCCAAGACCAACAGGTCAGAAAAAGCATCATAATGTCAGTTTTTACAATGTGTAGGTAATGTCACCTTTTCTTTTTTTCAATTTGACTCAGCACATGTGTTCTCTTCAGGCCTTTTGTCTCTCAGAAAATTCACTTCCCTGACTTCTCGACGCGAGACATCCACAGAAACTACGTGGACTGTGTGCGGTGGCTTGGGGATCTAATTCTTTCAAAGGCAAGTTAGTGGTGATTGAAACTTCTTGCACAATTTTGGGGCTTCAGATTTGGAATAAAACCAACAATCATTGCATATTTTTGTAACTATAGCATGCCAAAACGTGTTTATTTAGTCCTGCGTAGCCGAAATCTTGCCCCTAAAAAACATGTTTAAAAAAAGGGCCTAAATACTTTGTGAGGCAGCTGTAATTGGAACAATTCATAAATCTCTTGTAAATACAGTATTTATATAGAAATCCCTGTTGTGCAAACCACTGTTAAAACAGGAAGGAAACGGTTTGATTTGTAGGAATGACATCTGTGTCTTTGTCCCGCCTCTCTTCAGTCGTGTGAAAATGCGATCGTCTGCTGGAAACCGGGCAGGATGGAGGAAGACATCGATCACATCAAACCAAACGAGTCCAACGTGACGATTCTGGGACGCTTTGATTACAGCCAGTGTGACATCTGGTACATGCGCTTCTCCATGGACTTCTGGCAGAAGGTTAAAAAAAACCTTCAATATCCATCTGAAGCTGCACATCACATCATTGTACTAGTCTTATGTTGTATTTCAAACCCTTTCTGGTCTGCTAAAACCCCAAGTCAGTTCTATTTCTGAAGTTATTAAGTGTAAAAAATAAAGTGCGTCTTTGGTATTTGTGCACATTTGAACCTTTTTCTGATTTGCAGATGCTGGCTCTGGGAAACCAGGTGGGGAAGCTTTATGTGTGGGACCTTGAAGTGGAGGATCCTCATAAAGCAAAGTAAGTGAGCCCAAGAGTTTCTATTTTTGGCAAATGAATCATTTCATCCCTCGTTTGACAGCTAAGACTTTTCCACTGACAATGCTTCAGAGCTGCATCCTTAAAAAAAAAAAAAACACCAGTGATCTGTCAGGAGAAACTCCGGGTAAAGTCAGAGTAAAACATTAGATCCTCCTGCAAATTCCAGGAGTTTTCTGCAAGTGTGAAAGCCCTATAAGTCAAAAGAAAGCGCCAATAGAAGTCCTCGGGTACACTTTAGTTGAACTTTGTCCTGATTTTACAAGAAGACAAACTAAACACACTCAAACTCATTATTTATTGTGGAGGCTGTCAGGTGATGATTTGTGAGCTTTATATTTGTTGTGTTTATGACTTCTGTTTCCTTGTAAAAAAGTTTCCGAAGACAAACACACATTCATAAATATATCACAGAGGTCAAAAGAACAACACTCAGAGGAGAAAAGAACATTTACAGGTTTAGTTTCATTCATTCAACATGACAAATAATAAGACAAATCATTTTTTTTTTACTTTTAAATTGTCACTTAAGAGTATGAATTCAGGTCTTAATGAGATCCTTTTCCACGGCTGTGTGTGTGTGTGTAACGTGTCGTCTCTCTGCCCTGCAGGTGCACCACGCTGACTCTCCCCAAATGCACGTCCGCGATCCGGCAAACCAGCTTCAGCCGCGACAGCAGCATCTTGATCGCTGTGTGTGACGACGCCTCCATCTGGCGCTGGGATCGACAGCGCTGATTATTTCTTTGAAACGAACTCTTCTTGTTTCCCCTTACTTTCCCCCTGAAGCTTGCAGCCCCATTATCAAATCTACGCCGCAAGAAATGTCCATTAAATCTCACCTGACCTCCAAAAAGCTCTTCTTGTTTTTTCCTGAGGAGAAGTGAGGAACTTCACCAAAGTCAAACGGTTCCTTTTGTAATTCTGGCCAAGGAGATTTCTTTCCCTTTTCTTTGTCTTACAGGAGCAGGTTTCTAGTTAAATAAATCAGATTCCTCAGAAGTTTAAAAAGTTTTATGACAGGAAATACATTTTATATCTTATAAAACAAATCTGTGTGAATCTCACACGTCTGACTTTTAGAAGAACGCTTTTCTTTGCCACAGCAGCGATAGTTTAAACAAACTTTTTGTCCCAGATAAAATTTTAAAATAAACTTTATTAGCATGTCGGTGTTATTGGTGGATAAGTGCCTTGTAGCTTCCTATGCAGACTCCTTCATCAGGAATCACTGGATCAGTCAGCTGCTCCTGTTCTCTGCATTCAGGGATGTTTTTCTGGGATCACTTTGCAGATTTTCATCACTCTTTGTCGGGAAAAGAAGCTTTTAAGACACCACAGATGAAACGACTTAAAGGTGGATATTTCTTGCAGCGTGCTGTCTTTTATTATGATTTGTTCACACTTGAAGATTTTTGTCGTTTTTGTTTTTTTTTATTCAGTTTTTTTTTTTTAAAGGTGTCACATTCCTTTGTGTCTTTTAAAATAGTTTGCTGTTACATCCCTCTTGTTCACCTCCAGGAGAACACAAACAACTCAATAAAAAGTATTTTGTAAATAATCAGGTGTGAAAAATGTTGCTTTTATTTATTTGAACATTTTAAAATATTGTCCTCTGATTATATGAAGCACTGTAGACTGAATCTGCTTTCATTTGAAAGCTTTATACTGAACCAGGTTTTTAAATGTCATTACACACAGATGACTCAGTTATACACCTGAGAATGTAATTATTAACCAAGAGATATGAAAACATAACTTGTTTTGTAACTACATTTTTCAGTAGTTTTAAGCTTAGCTTTTAACCATTTCTGTTAAATTATATAATATATTTATTTTTAAAGAAAGCTGTTTTTTGTGTCAGGGTCAAAACATTTATATTGTGCGCAAGAAATCAATTTTTGTACTTCTTGGGGCTTCAGGGGATCCGTACTTTTGAGAGTTATTGACTTAATACGCCAAAATAATAATCCGTTATTTATATTTATTTGGAGTTTAATATAAGTAATATTCCTACAGATGGCCTTATTTGTTGACCTAACTCTAACTTCAAAACATCGCAGGTAAGGAGAGAATACAGTTCCACCTTTATGGCCTTAAATGAACTTTTATGACGCTGTTTTGGACCGTGCATTGACGCTCTTTTTGCATGCAGAAGTCATGTGAGTTGGAGGCTTTGTCCCTCCATCTTCTCCGGTGATTCCGCAGAAACATGACGTCTGAGCGGAGAGCTCAGCGGCGCCGCGCTGCGCTCCTCTTATCTCAGCACAGCGGACGACGCGCTTCCTCTCCGCGGACTTTTGCCCTCTGACTTTGAAAAAGGTACTGATAAGAGGCAAGCGACGAGCGAGGGCACAACTGTAAAACAATGTTTTCTCAAAAGTCTCCAAAAAGTCTCTCCAAGTATGTGTCCAAGTCGTCGCCGGGCTGCGGGGAGCAGATCTGTATGGACTACACCTGCAGCGCGAGACACAGCGCGCGAGAGCTCAAGGTAAGGCCTACGGAGAGCTCGTGCATCTAGTACAGCCTAAAAACCCTGGTCCTCTATGAGCAGGCTCACATGTTCACTTTGATTATTAAGTCTTATTTGAAGGATTTGAAGGATGGAGAATATATTTTTTAAGAAGTCTTAAAGGGTCACAAGGTGCGTCTTTAACTCTCAAATTAAAATATTGTAAGGGTCAAGAATTGTATTAGTTCAGGGTTCCACCTGCAACAGTTTGGTTTACCTGTTCATCTTGTGCTTTCTATGGCTACTGCAGTAATAGGACTATTATACTTATTAACCATATAGTCCTAAAGCTGTAATACTGGGAAAAATCTGGCTATTTTAAATAAGTAACATACAGGTAACTCTTACAATGTTGTAAAAAAAAAAGCTCAGTCAAATGCCACTGACATCAGTAATAACACTGTGATCGTATTACACTGCTTATTTCTAAGGTGTTAGAAAGCTCAGTTGTTGATTCTTGCAGAGTGATTTTCTGATGATTCCAAAGCACCGTGCGAGTCGCATGGTTTGATTTGTTTCTCGGCTCGTGCCCTGGACAAAACGTTTTACTGTCAGGAAGTGAATGAAGAGATTGGCTGTGTTCATGTATCACTTGTAACATTCGGCTCATGTTTCTGTGCAGCATGAAAGCACTCACTGTTGAAGCTTTTTGGGCCAAACCCAAACCATATAACGTCTCCCAAGCGAGCTGTTTGCATCCAGAACGGAAAGATTTCAAGATAATGAGATTTTAAACACCAGCGAGGAGGCGCTGCTTTCCACGCCAAACTGTCCTTTTCTAGCCCCTTTAAGTGCCCCTTAGCTGACCCTCACCCCACAGATTGGGCCTCGCTGCAATGCGCCTGAACAAGATAAACAAACCATAAAGTACAGTGTGGTCAGTGGGACAAAGTTTACAGTTTGACTTTATTCTGAACAAACACTTTATGGTAGGTGCGTTGTGATGTCACCGCTCTTCACTGCTGAGGAGGAATAAGAGAGGAAGACAAAGACGCTGTTGAATGTTTGTGCTTGATGATCCGAGTCAGTGTGCGCGTTGAGTGTTGCACTTTGAACATTTCAACAGGACTTGTGAACTCGTTTTAATGTTTGCATTACTACCGGGGACACATCGCCACACTGATTTCTGATGATTACTGGTTCTAGATCTGTAAAACCCGGTGAGGTCTTTCATCAGGGCGCCGTGGTGTGTGTGTCACATTTGGTCTGTTATAATGCAGGACAAATTAAATACTAACTGTTGCAGGGCGGACTCAGCAGGTGTTAAACTTGAAATGACTTTTGGTACAAGATACAATCAGCATGAAAGTAATAGAAGAAGATGATTTCTGTAAGGAATATTATTATAGAAATGGAGTTGACACCCTTCTTATGGTCTAAGATGTGCTTGTGAATATTGACTTTAAGTAGAGTCACGTTGGGAGGATTATGTGAAGAGCAGGTCATGTGGGGTTTTTTTTTTTGGCAACGCTGGACTTTTCTCTTTTAGGGTCAAAAAGGGGAACCCCCATTTAAGATCACCACCTACACCTACACCGTTTTAAACTCAGCATATCATTTTAATTATATCAGATTAGACCACCTCTGCTGCAGCCTGTAAAGTGTGTGAAAACAGAGATCTGTCCTGTGGATTCTTATTTCAAGTTTTGCTCTCCAGGAATGTGACGAGAACAAATCTGTGTTGTAAGAAAGAAGCTGAGACAGGCTGCATGAAAAGTGACCCTGCTGTTAATTCACAGGCGGATTAAAACTCTCAACATGTCAACTTACTGCTTTACCCATGACGCTAAACTCTTACAACATCTGATGGACTCATAAGGGTTTGAAAAGAGGCCTCAAATTAAGACTCACAATCAGCTACGGTCTGGAAGAGGCTCAGATCTTTGCAGACTTTTTTTTTTTATTCTTGTCTGGATTGGTCGAAAAATCACTGAGCAGACGCCTTCCGGTCTTTGTGCTGAGAAACCCTGTCCAAGCTTGTGCTGATAAAATGTTTTCATTTTCAGTCAGTTCACAAAACATCTTTCTAAAAGTTAAACAGGGTCACGTAGGTGCTCGTGAAGTCGTCCCTTTAGGAACCGATCCAGCAGCTTCGCTTGTTCTCTTGCGCTCAGGAAATTGAAAGAAGCACAAAGACAACATGGAGGGCATGCTTACAAAACAGGAAATGAAAAGTGATGCCTGTTATCGTTGTTCCTGAGTCGAAAGCAAAGACAATGTGAAGCAGCTAAAATGTGCTTTGATTGCAGAAATGTTTTATTGCTTGTGTGCAGTTATTCCAGTACCCATCTCAGTATCTATATTGAATACCATTATCATTACTGGCCTTTGATACTGCCTGCAATGTGTTATCAGGTATCTGCGTTGTCAGTGAAATGATCTGATACCATAAACCCTCAGACCCCAAAACCACCTGTTAGAAGCTCAATTGTTGTGTGAAAATCACAAACAATAACAGATGGCTGCTAGTAAAGAGTGTAATGTGAATTAAAGTTAGAAAAATGTTAGAAATCTGCATAATCCCTGTCGAGATGTCATGCCTTGGGTTGATTCCCTGAGCTCAATTAGGAGCAACAAGAATCACCTGTGCTGGCTGCAGCAATCAGCCACAGGTGAGTGAGATCCCCAAATCAGGTCTCCCACAAAGAGAAGGCGAGCTCATTGCTCTGTTTACTCTCCAAAGGACGAGACCTGTTCCACCTTTCTTTGTCGAGTGTGTCCACATGTGACTTATTGTTTGAGTGAATTACTTTAGTGATTATGTTTGTTTATGATGCATATAGGCAGAATTGATTTATTGTTTAATTGATTCATCTGTTAACTGAGCCTGTTTAGAATTATTGAACATTATTTTGTGAACGAGGCCGATCATTAGTTGTCATATTTTGTCTCCGAAACAGGACAAACCACTTGACAAATTAAGGAAAAAACCTGTGCTAACAAAAACCTTAAAGTGGAATCATTCTCGCTGCCTTCATTCCCATGAACTCACCTTTTTGATGATCTTCAGCCCTCAACATTTAGGTTACACCTCAAACAATCCCACCAATATTGTGTTTATTTTTTACTCCCACATGTACCTGAGTAGCACTCCGTACTGGACATTACTCAAGTCAAGGTGTTGGTATAGGGAAGGAAAAAATGTATCAGAACATCTTCAGTCGAGGGTAGATACCAAGAAAAATGTGTAACTGTTTCTTGTCTCGTTTCAGGACAATGGCGTTGACTTGGAGGAACAAGGTCTCGACAACTTGGCCTACGAATATAGCAGTCAGAGTGAGCTCTACCCTCCACCAAAAACTTGTTCCAGGTCAACTTTTAAACTTCTGGGACTCTCCTCTGAGCACCCGACCCAAGCAATCGAAAGCGGAATATGTGGCTTGAGTGGAGTTGTCGCTGCGAGCTTGTCTTTACCTGACAGTTTGGCCAAAGTGGACTATGATAGCTCGGTTATCACAACCGAAGAGATCGCACTGGAGATCCACGCCTTGGGATTGAGTGTGGAGTCGGTGGCTCGGATCACAGTGGACGGTATGCACTGTCAGTCATGTGTGCAGTCCATAGAGGGGCGGATCGGGGTTCTACCTGGAGTTTCACACATTGAGGTTTCTCTTCAGGACGGCTTGGCGCTGGTTGTTTATCAGCCTCTTTTGGTAACACGGCAGGAACTAAGAGACAGTGTCGAGGAAATGGGTTTTGGCGCCATTTTATTGGCAGACGATCCACCTGGAGGAGATGCGAGCTTCTGGCAGAGGGACACATCGACCACGACCATTTGGATTGTAGGGATGACCTGCAACTCTTGCGTGCAGTCTGTAGAAGGGAGGGTCTCTCAGATGCCAGGAGTTAAATCCATCCAGGTGTCACTGAAAGAGGAAAAGGGAACGATCACCTTCGACTCCAGTCTGACAGAGCCAGAGAAACTCAGGGTGGCTATCGAGGACATGGGATTTGACGCATCACTCGAAGGTAGAAATGCTCAACTGAAATGCTTTCTGATGCTCAATTTAAGACTGTATTTGAAAAAAAACAAAGCCTCCTGTCATGGG